CCCCCCCCCCCCCCCCCCCCCCCCTAATTCATATGTGCTCATCCCCCTGCTCATTGCCTTGGAGTTCTTGGATTATTTTGGATTATTATGTGGTTTGAATACTAAACCAGTTAATTAGTGATGAAACTAAGTGAATGGTTTGTTTTCTTTTTGTCTTGTGTACTTTTGTAGTGAAGGTAACTATAGCTGTCAGGGTTATTGCTTCAACGTCATATAATTATCAAAGTTTCAGGTGAATTATGAGATGTACCGTAAAGAGAGAAAAAGATATTTAGAGTAAACTGTCAGAATTCAGACAAATGGAGAGTTGCCAGTCTGTTTTACCAGGAGTATGTTCCTCAGTGCATCATTATCAAGACAGTGTTTTTTCATCTAATCAACTGGACTTTGGAAGACGAAAGAGCAGGAGGAGGAAATGATTAGAAAAAAAAACTGTCAATCTGTTGCTGTTTACTCAATTGAATCACAGGGTACCACTGAGGTCTAAGAGATCAGCGCAGGACACGCACATACACACAAAGAACATACTCATTCATTAAAACATGCACAAGTTGTGCTCCCTCGTGAAACCTTGCAACATCTGTTTATAGGTCTGCCTGTTGATTGAGTGGAAAGAATTAATCTAAATGTATCCCTAACAGATCCGACAGATTACCTTTCTTCAAGACAGACAAACAAACTCAGAGTGATAGTTGGTCACATGCGAGTCTTAAAATAATTTTCTAGAACTTTTATATCTTTTCACAATTGTTCAGATGTTCATGATAACCAAAATGTGAACAGTCTACTGCCACGCTTACAGCTCTGTCGAGCTGTACTTTGAGATAAATGCCAACTTGCTAACATGCTTGTAATGACAAATGTTAACATGCCGATGTTTAGCAGGTATGTTTCCCATGTTCACCATCTTAGTTTGGCATGTTACCTTATGCTAATATAGCTCTAAACACAAAGTAAATCTGAGGGTGATGGGAATGCCATCCCTTTTGCTGGTATTTCTATATGAAAGACTCTTTTTTTTTTTTAATTAGTGGCGCTAGAAGAAAAGTTAGAGGATCACCAAAGTCAGAATAATTCATTCTCAATGCTTTGAATGTGTCCATTTCAAAAGTGGATGAGATCTTTCAGTCTGGGCCAAAGTGGTTGACAACTGAATTTAGAGAAATTCCCCTCAGAGAGACAGTTGTGATACTGATATACAATGACATTATTTCAAGAGGAATTTAGTGAAACTTGCAGACATACTGTAATGCTATTGTGGCAATCATATAAAGTTTGTGTGCATGTGATCTGAAGAGAGGGGCCGATGGACTGTGTGTGTTTATGTGTCAGGTGAGAATATGGGATTCTGAGAGTTAAAAGGCTTCCCTTCAGCAGTCGGACAATGGAGAAAACATACTCGCTGTGACGAAATACCACACACACTTTGTGTCTCTGTCACACACTCACACAGACACACGGCAAACCACATTATGCAAACATGCACAATCTGAGCTAATACCATAAGGGTTTATACATGATGAAAGTATATCTCTAATACCTTAAACCTCTCATGTGTAAACCAGTGAGCATACATACACAAGCACAAACTTGTATATGTGCACATATACCAGAACAAGTGTATTACTATGCTTTTCTTTTTCATGTCTTTTCTCTCCTCACAATCTTAAGTCATTTCTCATCTGATAGCACAGCATTTTTTAAGCAAAACACACACAGAGCAAATTGTTATTTGTTTTGCTTGATGGTCTACTAACCCTGTTGCAAGGCGGATTAGTGAAATGTTCTATTAGAGGTATCATCACCAGAGAGAGACGGAGCAGAGCGTGCTCTAATTTTAGCAATGTTATTAATTTCCTCGAATCAAATTTGTATGGCTTTTGATAGTCCAGGAAGAGGGGAGAGAAGAGTCATGTTTTTTTAATTAACAGAATCTTTTTCTGCATATCCTGAATGTATGAACCCCTGCATGTTTCAGCTGCACGGACACCACACTGTGTCTCCTGTCTGTCTTTACAAAGCCAGCTGGTTTCCGGCTGACTGGCTAGATCAGTGGCTGGTGTACGACAGTGGCAGATGTGTGTGTAATCCCATCCATGACCCATCCACACTCATGATATAAGAGGATCTATCTGCAGGTAACAGGCCATCTGTATTAAAAGGACATGGAGCACAGATATCAAATATTCTTTTCCGGCTCTGTGACAACACATGTTGTCATTCAGACAGGAGTTTTTAAAGTGGATTAGCAGATCATGGGCAAAGTGTATCTGGTGTAGCTTAGGTTAAGACATCATGAACTGCAATGTCTCTTGTTTATGTCTGACCAGGGACATATTCCTCTATTTTTTTGTCATATCTGTATGTCAAAGGCATAAAAAAAGACAGAAAAATACTTTTAAAAAGTGTGAATGTGGTGGAATTGTGGTCAAAAGATAAACTATTCTCTTTGCTAACAGCTGATAAAAACAGATCAAGAATGGATTTACAGTCGCTCATCTTTCAGCTAATGAAGCCCTCAACAAATAAAGGATTCAAAAGTGTCATTTCTAGTCTTGTAAATAATCATCGTAAAATAGTCACATGATTTATTCATCTAAAAAGTATTCTGCTTTAAATGGCAGCAGGTACAATGTACAAAGTTGAATCTAAATCATCAAAAGTTCTGGTTTTTTATGTTGGTTTGATGTGTACTCTCCTGGCCCAGTTTAGCCAAGAGATCTGGTAGACTTTCTGATATCACAGCACTTGTTGAATTCCCGTCAAGCTGGTTGTGCTCTACCTTGTGCTCGACGCTCCATCTTGTCGGTGCTTTCTGAAATGGCATTTCAGATATCCAAACATTTATTGTCAACATCAAGAAGTTCAATCGTTGTTATTGGGAAATTATAAGAGATATGAAAGAGAGAAGGCCAATATAAATGGACTGTGTGCAAAAATTGAGGTGAGGAGGAGGCCAAGATCATATATTTCATATCCAGCCACTCCCCATTTTTGAATAGAAAACGACTAAATAGAAAGCTAATAGTCATCATATGAGTCACCAAAGTGACAATTGTTCTGCTTCTACAATATCAAAAGTGTCATAACACTGAGTGACGCCTAACATTGCCTAGCTGACCTCACCGCAACTTCTAAAAAGGAAATGAGGATATTCCGGAGGCTGAATATCAAATCAATGAACAGTAGCAGTGCAGTAGTGAAAGCTTTCTCTCAAGGGACAAGGAGAGAAGGACTGTAGTGTTCAAACAGCACATCACAGGACTGATGTCACTGCTCATGAGGAATTGAAATTAGGAACACTCTAGACGAGTGCCCTGGAGCTTAACTCACAACTTGATTGAAATTGCAAGTGATGTTTTTGTCTGGGATGTTCAACTAAAATTAGACAACTACTACATACAAATTAATAGTTCAACACTTTAATCAGCTGATGAACCAGTCAGCAGTGAGTTTTTTTGTTGGTAACAGAAATCACTTGGTCATTAGTTGTGCTCCTGAAAGTTTTCTGTTTAATGCCGCTTGTGAATTTGATGTCTGTTTGATTAGCTTATGTACTGCAACTATTCTACCACATGTTCAGGACAATGTTGTAATATTACCACTAATATTAGGCGTTAGTGGAGGTTTGTACTCCACTGATATGAAATAATAGAAACATTTTAACAAGCTTGGATATGTTACATCCTGGCTCAAAGGCTGGAACAAAAATGGGAGACCAGACAAGAAGAAAAGTAATAAATACAAATTTATTTACAAAGTAACCAAAAAGAACAGAACAAACGTGGAAAGTCACTATTTAGTAATGCAAGCTTGTGTGGATGTCTCAAGCAAACAAATCAAACAGCAGCTATGTCAGCCAAGAAAGAGAACTCTGTGGGAAGGTGGTGAGCATTTATCCCCTAAACTACACCTTCCCAGGTCTGGCTCATGAAGCTGATGACGACCAGATCCTGTACAATTTTAAAAAAAGAGCCAGCAAATGGGATTTATGGGCAAATGGGATTTATATGTGATGGCCCCTCCAAGCCATCACATATAAATTAAAGCCCCTTTAAATCAGAGACATTTACAGTTGTGTGAAAAAGTGTTTGCCCCCTTCCTGATTTCTTATTTTTTTGCATGTTTGTCACACTTAAATGTTTCAGATCATCAAACAAATTTAAATATTAGACAAAGATAACACAAGTAAACACAAAATGCAGTTTTTAAATGAAGGTTTTTATTATTAAGGGGAAAAAAAAATCCAAACCTACATGGCCCTCTGTGAAAAAGTGATTTCCCCCTAAACTTAATAACTGGTTGGGCCACCCTTAGCAGCAACAACTGCAATCAAGCGTTTGCGATAACTGGCAATGAGTCTTTTACAGCGCTGTAGAGGAATTTTGGCCCACTCATCTTTGCAGAATTGTTGTAATTCAGCCACATTGGAGGGTTTTCGGGCATGAACCGCCTTTTTAAGGGCATGCCACAGCATCTCAATCGGATTCAGGTCGGGACTTTGACTAGGCCACTCCAAAGTCTTCATTTTGTTTTTCTTAAGCCATTCAGAGGTGGACTTGCTGGTGTGTTTTAGATCATTGTCCTGCTGCAGAACCCAAGTGTGCTTCAGCTTGAGGTCACGAACAGATGGCCGGACATTCTCCTTCAGGATTTTTTGGTAGACAGCAGAATTCATGGTTCCATTTACCACAGCAAGTCTTCCAGGTCCTGAAGCAGCAAAACAGCCCCAGACCATCACACTACCACCACCATATTTTACTGTTGGTATGATGTTCCTTTTCTGAAATGCCGTGTTACTTTTACGCCAGATGTAATGGGACATACACCTTCTAAAAAGTTCAACTTTTGTCTCGTCAGTCCACAGAGTATTTTCCCAAAAGTCTTGGGGATCATCGAGATGTTTTCTGGCAAAACTGAGACGATCCTTTATGTTCTTTTTCCTCAGCAGTGGATTTCATCTTGGAACTCTGCCATGCAGGCCATTTTTGCCCAGTCTCTTTCTTATGGTGGAGTCATGAACACTGACCTTAATTGAGGCAAGTGAGGCCTGCAGTTCTTTGGATGTTGTTCTGGGGTCTTTTGTGACCTCTTGGATGAGTCGTCGCTGCGCTCTTGGGGTAATTTTGGTCGGCCGGCCACTCCTGGGAAGGTTCACCACTGTTCCATGTTTTCGCCATTTGTGGATAATGGCTCTCACTGTGGTTCGCTGGAGTCCCAAAGCTTTAGAAATGGCTTTGTAACCTTTTCCAGACTGATAGATCTCAATTACTTTGTTTCTCATTTGTTCCTGAATTTCTTTGGATCCAGCATGATGTCTAGCTTTTGAGGATCTTTTGGTCTACCTCACTTTGTCAGGCAGGTCCTATTTAAGTGATTTCTTGATTGAGAACAGGTGTGGCAGTAATCAGGCCTGGGTGTGGCTAGAGAAATTGAACTCAGCTTTCCAAAGATGTGATAAACCACAGTTAATTTATGTTTTAACAGGGGGGGGCAATCACTTTTTCACACAGGGCCATGTAGGTTTGGATTTTTTTTCCCCCTTAATAATAAAAACCTTCATTTAAAAACTGCATTTTGTGTTTACTTGTGTTATCTTTGTCTAATATTTAAATTTGTTTGATGATCTGAAACATTTAATTGTGACAAACATGCAAAAAAATAAGAAATCAGGAAGGGGGCAAACACTTTTTCACACAACTGTAATTGTTGTCTTTAATGGCAACATGCACATTTAAAACAGCTTAACTTTACAAAATACATTTGACCAGCTTCACAAAGAATACAGTGTTTACATTTCTGCTCGGTAAGCTAAAAATATGAAGTTAGCAGCTCTCGCTACATATAAAATCATTTTAGTTTCTTTTTATGCTGTGATGGGGAACGACATCTTCTCAATGGGCAGAAGAAAGAAAGTTATATTGAGGAGTAGCGTCCCTCTATGGAGCCTGAAATTGTGTTGTATTCAGCCACTGCAACAGCAGGATGGTGAGCATCACCCTAAAACGAGAGGAATCCAGTCAAGTTTCATCAAATCAAGTCAGGTCACGAGATGTTATAAAGAAAATATCAGTATAGGCAACAACTGACCTCAAAAAGCTCTAGTAAAATAAGTAAGGTGTAATTCAGAAAGCATCAGACATAATATCCAGACTAATGATTCAACTAAGAAGCAGTATTACCGGTCTTGTATGTTCTTCTTGAGGGTACAGACACATGTGTTGAAAAAGAAGAATGTAAAATGTCTTAGGCCTTGCCAAGCCCAGAACCCAAACTCAGACACCTGGCTGAACCACAACTCCAGTCTGGGGGAGAGAGAGAAAGGACTCACTGAAATACTGTACCTAGTCAGATTAGCCATGACAGGTTTTTTTTCCAAAACTATACTGTTAGTCATTGAGAATGCCTTGTCTTGATAGAAACTCCTTTGATTAGTCATAAGCCCTTTCAAATTTGAGCTAAAACGCAGTGTAGATATTGACCTATAATTGTTAGGGTTAGATGGATCTCTGCCATTAAATATTGGGTAAATAACCATGACCTAAACAATGCAAAGGTAATAGACTTGCCAGGGTTAATATGATGTGGGTTCAATTGGTATGGATTAGTCTGTGTAAATGTATGAAAAATAAAAGACTGGAGACAGGGGGGAATAGCTAGCCTGTCTGTCTGAAGATCAAAAAACTCAGCTAATCGGCACCATGTTTACCAGACAATTATGTGAGTGGTAACAATCTTCTCTTCTAACTCTTGCCTAAAAAGCAAAAACGCATAATTCCCAAAATGTTAAACTGAACCTTTATATCTGAGAAAAAAGAATGTCTGTTCCCGTTGCATTTCTGGTTACAAGCACAAGAAGACATGAGTTTCTGAACACACAACCTGATTGTCCTCACTGTTAGTTGTATTTTTGTTATGTATGTTATGTAGGCTACTGTAGTGTTCAGTGTATTTATTACCTGTGCCTACTTTGGAGTAGTGCGTAAAATGGCAGCAGAAGTAAGAGCAGGTGGGACAAGATTCTTGCAGGGAGTCCAAACATGCTCAGATAGGTCACCGCGTTGGGCAGCAGAACTGAAACACAGATGTTCACAAAGGCTTAGTGTAACAAACTGAATGTCTTTCTCATGCCGTAATTCTGAAATGAAGTGCCCGCTATTTTTAATTTATTTCTTTAGTGGATTGCTAAATCTTTATTTACATACATATTCTGACAAAGTGCAGACCCATTCTAATTTGAATTTGTTTATTTTTTTTTATCTGAACAACAAATCAGAGCAGGTTGTAGTGTGTGTGTGTGTGTGTGTGTGTGTGTGTGTGTGTGTTAGCCATACCATTCTTTACCATGTCAAAATGGAGAAGAGGTTCTTTAATTGGTAGATTTCCGTCCTCCTCAGTAGGGCTGTCCCGCTGCATATGTCTATTGGTTATGAAAGACGTCAGTGCAGTGGCCTCCTTTTCCACCTTCATCTCCTCCTCCTTCTCCTCCATGGCAGTCTCCAGATTCATGCATATTTGGTTACAGTTAAGGGGCCCTTGGGGCTCTTTGTGTATCATCAAATATGAGACAACATCTGCAAACAAGGGAAAGACGTGGAGAGGAATAAAGAACGTTGGTCAGATACAGTTTGCACGTAACAAAACTGTACAGTAGCCTATCTATGAAAGAGATGAGATCTGCATGCATATGTCCCGAACATGGCCGCTCTGATGACATCACTTAGGTGAGGCAAAGTAAGTTACTATCAAAACGATGCAAACAAAACTTATAATGCAGTAGACAGGCTTATTATCCAAGTGGGCTTTCTAACAGCTACAGTATCTTCAGCCCAATTACGCAGGGCTTTGCCCTGTTGACTCACTGTTGCACTGAAGGAAATGAATAGCATCCTTGTATCCGTTGTGGTAGGCTTGTTCCAGAGTCTAAAGGGCACAAATAAAAGTGTTACAAAACTATCCTTCACAGTGTTATTGTAGGACACGTGCTCTTAATTCACAAGGATTTATCAACATATGTGTAGGAAAAGGTCATCCCTCTTATGATTTTTCAGATACAGAATTCACTGGATCATTTAGGTTGATATACGTATAGATATATTTCTGCGTTAATATATAGTGTCATTATGTAGCACAAAAACTATGAGATCATCTCCTAAAGGAAAAACAAAATCTGATTTCCTGAATAGTGTTCAACGAGTCAAAATTGTTATAAAACACAAACACATTTCTCGGTCCTCATTTTGAAACATGTTGAGGAATGGGTCTAACCTCTAAAGCCATGGGGTAGAGAGCGTTAAGGACCCTGATGCTGTTAGCCTTGTTGCCCTTCAAGGTGCTGCCACTCACCACCATGTCAAACATGCACGGTGTGTCGGAGGGACAGATGTCTATCTCTCCAGAGAATGGAGACACCGTCAACGTCTGACTGTAGGGTACAGGGTACATTGGCTGCATTTTGCTGAAACCCCCGTCCACGTAATACTGTGAGATAAGATCACATACATTATGATACAGATCAGACCCATGGGCTCGAAGTGAGTTAGTGAAAAGGCGATCAAAAACTCACTTCGCCTTTGAAGGATGGAGGCAGCATACCACAGTACACAGGCACAAAGCAGCTGCATAGTAACGCCTAAGGAAAACATAGGAATAGAAATGGAATTTATTCTGGAAAGTATTCTTAAAAACTTTTTAAGGGTTTTTCTGTTTTTTTTTTTGCTTATAACCTGCTCAGGTTTCTTAAAAATAATTAGGGTGTGAATCTGTAGTGTCAACTTGCCTGCACTACATCCTCTTTGGACTGGAACTCAGACGTCACAATATGCTTGCCATCACTCAGGCGTGTCATAGACACAGAAAGACGTCCACTGGCCAGTTGGTGTGCATCAGAGGGAAGATATTTGTATAAAATACGCTCTAACCAGTGGAAAACATTGATCGAGGGGTTAAACGGTCCAAATGTAAAAGCCTTCATCTGTTTGGCAAAATACAGCATCTCATCCCGAATATTAACTGTAAAATAGAAGACGTTGAGTCAGAAACTGTGATTACATTCAACAGAAGTAGATATAGAAGAAAGATAAAGTCACTTACTCATGCTCATTCCACAGACCACCGCAGCTGCTACCAGAGACCCTGCAGATGCACCCAGGACACAAGGTGCTGCGCTCAGTATCCACGGTGTATACGTTAGGAAGCACTGGGCAACCCCTAACTGGTAGGTGGCCAGGAAACCAGATCCAGAAAAGGAGATGGAAGGAGGAACTTCACGATAATGACAACTGGAAACTCCTGGCGCCATTTTCTAAAGGATATTAATTGTCAATTTAAAAGTTTAAAGTCGTAGCTGATGCAACACATTAAATCTGTGGCAAAAAGTCCTGTTTCTTGAAAGCAGACAGAGTTAAAACAGGCTCAGATGAGTTATCCAGAGGAAAGTGGGTGATGGTTTCACAATCAGTGTTTTTATAGCAATCTCAATTGGACATACTATATTAGTCAGGCCCATGTGATTCATAAAACATATGACGCTCTTATGACTTCTTCTCCGTATTAAGTCCACAAAGCTAAGACATTGGCTGGTTTCTATTGGATACTACTTCATTAACATATTTGACAAGGCCCCTTCTTTTGTTATTTTAGCACAGACAGAAAGGAAAACGTAGGATTTTACATGAATGTGTTTTCAATAGGACAACTGTTGGAGAACTCAAACCACTGTGACTGCCCTGTCTGCCTGTTACTCGGTTTGTGTGGCTGCTGTCCTTGCAGGTATTGGAGGTGGGCGTGGCAGAGGGTCATCAGCAGAGTGGAAACACAGGTAACACATGGGCCCTGTGTGCCAGTCACTCTTTTGAAAACCCTCTTTAATCTCAGTTGTTCCCTCTCTCCTTCCTGAGACACCCCTTTGGTTTTTGGTTGAGATTATGATTTGTTTCTACACTACACAACCATTCACTCACCTACACTGCTGAAATTACTGATTCCACACGCCACTGTTAGTTTAAGCATGCCTCTTATGTTGCCTTAAGTTAATAAATAATTTGTTAATTTGCTTGGCTGTGTATCTCACTCTTTTGTCATGGCCGTGCGGCCCGGTTTGTGACACCACCAAAACACTTCATCTCCAAATAAGCTTGTTTGACCACAACACTGGCAACAATTCTCACTCAGAAAGGATGTCTCATAACACTGACTTAAAGAAACAGTAACAACAGGGTGCATCAAATTAATGATAAACAGTTATCTTCAATGTTTTATTGATTTTTTTTTTACATGATTTAGTACGTGCCCCAGGGCATACAAAATATGCGATACTAATTACATGTATTGTAAGCTGTAAAAACATTAGCAATTAACCTATCGGCTATACCACACTGTACAAAGTGTCATTTAACCCACAACACAATCAATTTGAATGCAAAAAATCACTCCACCCTGTTTCACCCTATTTACTGTAACAATATATAGTGATATAGTACATGAAAACAAGAGCATTTTTTGTATTGTGATTATGTTGAGCAAGCCTGAGCAATTTAAATTATGAAGTTCATTTGGCTGTTTTAATATTGATGCGATTTCTTTCACAATTTTCCTGGACTGTTAGTGATCGTTCTGATCTCAGTGGTACATACACTGATTCACAGCAACATGAAGCTGAATGAGCTTCCTCCGTAGGGTGGCCGGGCTCAGCCTTAGAGATAGGGTAAGGAGCTCGGTCATCAGGAGGGAGCTTGGAGTCGAGCCGCTACTCCTTCACGTCGAAAGGAGTCAGCTGAGGTGGCTCGGGCATCTAATTAGGATGCCTCCTGGACGCCTCCCACTGGAGGTTTTCCAGGCACGTCCAACTGGGAAGAGACCCCGGGGAAGACCCAGAACACGCTGGAGAGATTACATCTCCCAGCTGGCCTGGGAAAGCCTCGGGATCCCCCAGAATGAGCTGGAATATGTTGCCGGTGAGAGGGAAGTCTGGGTCAGCCTGCTTGGCCTGTTGCCACCGTGACCCGACCCCGGATATGCGGAGGAAAATGGATGGATGGAATATCAAAGTGCAATTATTCCTTAAAAAATACACTCAACAATGCATTTTGTTAAACCTGTACATGCATGGGTAATTTTCTGAACACATATCTCCATTCTATTCTGTAATCATTTGTGTTGTTGTATTCTACATGTATTTAGGACATCTAATAGATACTTTTGTTTTCTATGGTGGATGCTGTGGCGAAGCATGATGAGGGGAAACCTCAAAATGGTCCTCACTGAACTCATGTGTAGGACTGCTGTGTGAAAAGTCCCCGTCCTGAGGTAGAGAGTGTTCCGAAGACTCGGCGGCGTCAGCCTGTGGTTTCTTGGTATCCTTTGGGAGTTTCAGAAACCTGAGGGGAGGCAGAGAAGATGGCAATGACAATAAATGAATGTGTTGTTGTGGGGAAAAGCCAGGGGGAGAATGACACAAGGACAAAGAGACAGAGACCTGAAGAGGAGTTTTTGTCCTCGCTCCTTTTTGATGATGTTGAGCTTGTAGTAGTGTCGCAAAGCCCGGGACATTTTCTCATAGGTCATATTGTCTCGGTTCTGTAAAAAAAGATCATCAAAGGCCTGTGTTGCAACATTTACTCTGCTAACATGTCCTGTTTTTGCTGTTTTGCGTCTGCACCTCTGAGTTCATTTTCCCTGTAAGATGTACCACACAGGCCTTGGGGCTCACCTTGTGGTTTCCCCAGAGACGCGCCAGCCCGTTGGGGTCCACCACCCTGAACACCAGGTTGTCCTGGTCTTCCCATCGGATGTATTCTTTGTAACGGTCATCACACAGAAGCTGATACACATAGTCCCACAGCAGTCTACACTCTGGCCATGATTAAAACAGAAATTAGACACATGTTGCAAAAACTAGTAGTACTATCATCAATCATTGGTATTTAAAGTTATATTAAGCAGCCATAATATAAAGGATTAACTTCAAATACAACTCCAAAGCCTTGTTCATATGTTCATGCATGTATCCATAGTCACTCTTGTGTCGAGGAGTTTCTCTGCCACCTAGTGGTCAAACTTGCTTATTGGAGTTTTAAAAAAAAGATTTTGCAACTTTTAACATAGCTGTGCACCTCTTCAAGAACAATATACATTATGTTTATGTATATTTTCCAGGTGAAAACTGCGGTACAACTGTAAATAAGTTAAGTTACCTGGGATACGGCCGTTGGCTTTGTGCAGTAGGCTCCTTGGCTTCTCTCGACTGGACAGGTTGAGCGGCTGCTGGATTACACTCTCTGTTTGGGGAAGACACTGAACTTGGTTGTGGGGCAATGGAGAGACAGCTGCGGACCCATCTAATAGAGAGAGAAGGAAAGATACAGAGAAACAAAGAGAGAGGGACTCAAAGTCAGACATCACAGCAAATAGTTACAACTGCAGGATGCTGTGTTTCTGATATTGTTGTTTGTGATTCCCACTAAAATGTGTGAGTGGATCAGAGTAAGAGCAAAAGAACAAGGGACAATCTCGGAGAGGTGACATGAACTCCGACTGACTGGTCACAGTTACAACAGCTGCCGACACTGCAGTTGTCAAATGGAGGGAAACTGTGAAAGAGGAATGTGAGGCACTGTGACAAAGAACTAAACTGAAAGCAAAAGAGTTTTTACAAGAGTTTCAACATTTTACTCTAATGGCTTTACCAAAGGCAATGTACAACACAAACTTCACTACATACAGTATGTAGCACAAAGTCATTGTTTTGGACTTTTGGAGTTGTAAATTCATTGGTTTCCAAGTAACCACAGCACACCCATCGGCACACAACCTTCTTACAATAGAAAGCACCTTTTTTATGGTAGAGTCAAACTTGTGTGCATTTGTACTCTTCTACTGGGGGGTAATATGTCCGAACCAATTGTGTCAAGTAACAAAGTCAATTTACTCAGGACCTGTACTCATGCACAGTTTTGAGGTGCTCCTACTTTAGATTTCTATTTAGTGCAAATTTGGTGCTTTTTGGTCCCCATCATTTATCTGATGTATGCAGCTTCAAACAAACGTTTTACATGCAAAACAAGGCACATTATATATGATGCACTGCAGTTTAATAAACGACCTTCTGTAACAGCGTACAGTGTGGTGAGACTTCTCAACATCACTAACATTAAAATGCTGCTGACAACAATTTAGCACCCTGAAATTGGCTGTTTTCAGATTAAGAATCATTCATTATACTGTTATATCATATTTTTTTTTAAACACAGGGCTTTTACATGGCTTTTACATAATGGTTACTTCTTTACCCCCACCAGTGCATGAACCATCAACCTTCATGCTGGTCAAATGGGTTGAGGGTGAGCATGCATTGGTCAGGGTTTCCAGTTTGTGAATAAGAAGCTGAGCGATGTCCCTACAAGTACAGTGAAACATCGAAAGAGCATGATTCCTGCATGATGTGTTTGCACATGTTGATCAGGAAGTAGCGCCCACAATCTAACCAGGATAAACAAGTTGTATTTGCTACACCATCAACTCAAGCAATCAGTCTGAGTATGATCCGCATACAGTATATGTGTGTTCTTTGCACTGCCATGTACTCTGCATACAGTAGGCTGCATAACAATCTGACCTTGATGTCAATCGATTCTTGTCCAGACCTTTCCTGTATATTATATGTTTAAAGGTGCTACATTTGTAATTCACAGCATTTATATAGTTGCAAACTACTTTTTGCAATATAAAGATATGGTGGAGTAACGTCTACCTGAGCAGAGCCTGCCGTTGCTCTGCTTCTGTGTAATGTAATGTAATCCAAGCTTCTCTTTGCTTTGTTAACGTAGCCGGGCCGGCCTCACGTGTAAGTTATTGAGTGTCTCTGTTGTGCCCCATTGGCAAGCAGAAATATAGATTTTCTGCCATTTTTTCACTCCGAGAACTGATTCTGGAGGCTGTATGTTTAAAAATGAAGTGCTGACCTTGGACTTCATTGACTGTGGGAGGCTGAGGCTCTTGGACACTCTGAGGGGGTATCTGGCAGCTGACTGGGTTCTGGATGGGTCCAGTTTCCAGGGAGGGAGACGAATTTGGGAGGTCAAGGACAACACTCCTCCTTTGCTGTTTTACACACTGTAGGATCTCATATAGAACATCGCCTGTAGTAAAGAAGGGGGTGCATATGAAAACACAGCCTTAAAACCAGTCAGCATACTCTGCAGAACATGCACACTAATTTCTACCTGAGCTGGGGCAGCGGCGTCTGAAATCTTCCTTGGTGAGCAGGCACAGAGCTCGCCCATTCATCTCAAAGCGTCCCTTTTCAGGCCGGCGCAGTGAATACTCCCTCTGAGCCCAGTGGAGCCAGTGGCCAACATCCTCCTTGTCCCACAGAGATGGGTTTATACCTAGAAAACAGATGCACAACATTTTAAAACACAGGAGACGCTTGTGCTTGTCTACTTTGCTGCATGGAGTGGTATATTGATGGAGTGGTATATCTTCCAGGTAAGAGAGAGAGTTTGACTCACGCAGTTGTCCAGGTAGATGCCACAGGTCTTCCTGTGTGGGAGGACTGATCAAGGGGAGCTGGTTAGAGGGGGAATGATGCACACTGAGAGGAATGTTAACTTGCCTTCCATGCATTATGGATGGAGGACTGTTTTCTTGCTGAAAAACATCCACACACATGTAAGTACAATTATACAGCAATTGATTAGTGGCAGTACAGAAACAGCAATGAAGAGGGATTTGAAAACCCTTTTACCTAAAGGTTAAATTTTCAGTAGCCTTAGCAGCCGGCCATAGAATGAAATTGAAAGCTCTCAAAAAATCGCCCAAAACAATTGTAGTTAGGCTCCCTGCTTTTTAAAGTCAACACACTGTTTAACGATTTGCTCAACTGTGACCTTAACCTACCTTGATCAAACGTGACGGAGATATATTCTCCATGGAAATGCCCTTCTATCTGTTCGACTATACTGAACGAAAAGAATTGGATGATTTCCTTAAAAGCAGACCTATAACTCGTCCAATAAATGAAATACACTCCATATCAAACCTCCCCAAACTCCATATTAAAGGAAGAAAGAAACTTAACAATAATACAACTCCACTATTTTCACATTCAACCCTTCCGGGAAATGAAAATGAAAGAAACATAATCCTTGCAGGGGGTGTGGGCAAAATAGGCTGATTGGAGGAAGCATTGGCGGACGATATTTCCAACAACATTTGACTGCACTTGATCAGATGTGACATCCAGCAGGATATTTATTGGGGCGTTGCATACATTGCATCGTATATAAATTAAGTATGAAAAAAATAGCTTTCGGGATTTTAATCTCTCGATGAAAATGTTCTGTATTCGGAGTGATTATAAAACAAGTTGAGTGTGCATAACTTAATGACAAACAGGACAGAGCAGCGCGTACGTGCGCCCATAAAGCAGAAATAGTTGTCGGAGCTCCTCCTCCTCTTACTGATTTCCAGTAAGAAGCCCAAAGACAACAGCGACTGAGTTTATTATAGACAGGAGGAGCACACCGCCGAGCGACAGACTAGGTAAGCGGTAGAAGAAGTATTCAAAACCGTCAATAAATACAGATATTATCAGCGATCTACATTTAGATAAAGACCATGCATGCGGAACAATGATCTCACTATTATCCTTCATATGGAGGCACAGGAGAACCGAAACCAGGACTGCTCGAGGCAGACTGTCAGACCCTGTAGTGAAATTAACAGTTTTCTCTATGGAATGCGGTGATCTTGATCACTTCCGCTTTTGTCCACAGGGACCGCCAATATCAACACAACATGGAAGTTCCTTGAAATAATGTCAGTATAGCCTGTAGTAAAGCGGGTTTTTTCATTAGCTCTTTCTGGAGTACGCCTGGGGAGAGGTAATGTGTTTAGTCATGTATGTGACGGAGTGTGCACCTCTGTGTCTGTCCACGGCCAGTCTTGCATTTTGTTGTTGCAAACTGCATAATTATTTGGGTGCCCAGTTATGGCTGCATGCTCAAGGACCTCTCCTGGTTGCTGTGACTTTCCCAAAACACCTTTATTGCCTGTTTTATACTCCCATTGATGCCTGCTTACTCCTCACTCACCACTACCGGCCCCCTAATAGAACTACCAGTATTCAGCACGAACAGTGCAAGCAATGGCAGCAGTGATACTAATATGTGAATGCATTTTAACCCTTATGATCCCTACTCTAATAGAAAACCAATGCCTTTTAGATTTGTAAAACATGGGGTCACTGGCTATGCAAGTTACAATGATTTGCATTGTATTCTGTGGTTGTTAATCTCTGAAATAGTTTGTAACCATCTGTATAAAGCTGTCTTTTTTGTCATATTTCTCCAGTGATGTGGGCTGAAATATTGGGGAAACAGTTGGGCCACCCGACACGTACAGTGGCAGGGTGGCTGGTCAGTAGGTACCTCAAAGCATACAACCACATTCTTGAAGAGAGTGCTGTGCAGCTGTGTGGGATCCAACCTGGGGACACAGTGCTGGAGCTGGGTCACGGCCCTGGTCTGGGTCTGCAGTCGGCAGCCAAACTGCTCACAGAGCCCACAGGCCACCTTATAGGGGTGGATTACTCAGCATACATGCATCAGGTGAAGTATGAATACTGACAGAGTGGAATAAAGTATTTAAATTAGAGTTTATTTATCACATGCATGGCTTGACGATTGTTACAAACGTATATGTCTTAAAAGAACAAATCACAAGACGCATAAACAAGCTCTTCTATCATGCCTATAGCCACATACATACTGTACGCCTCTCTGTAAGGAACACAACAATCATAGACAAAAGCTGGGAGAACTTTAACTAGGACGCTAGTCTGGGACCGTATTGTAGCCTATTTCTGGGGGCAGACTTGACTAACTTTTGGGAGAGTAGAATATTTCTCTTTTTCTGTTCTTACAGACGGCAAGTGAGCGATTGAAGGAATTTGTGGCCAGTGGGAAAGTGACTTTACACCACTGTGATATAGCAGCAATGCCTCTGGCAGACAGCCTTGTGGATAAAGTCTTTCATTGTAACTGCTACTACTTCTGGCCTGATCTCAGGAAGGGAGCCACAGAGATACACCGTGTAATGAAACCAGGTAGGACACGATGTTGTCAGTAAGACCAACAAATTCAAAATATAACCTGTCTCAGAATTATTTCATACTCTTTGACTTTCTGAGCAATTGCTGTCTTTTAGTAATGCTGCTCTGTGCGATAGTCATTTTTTTCTCTCCTGAACTCACCCAGGCGGTGTGATGGTGACCGTGTTGAGGCTGTCAAGTGTTGCTGCTATCGCAGCAAAGCGAGTGTTGCCAGCGGAGAACTGGCGCCCAGAGGCCTACATGACAGCTCTGAGAGACACTAACTTCACTGATGTCAGAATGGAAGACATACAGCACAAACACATTACGATTCAGGCTATCTATGCTACTGCCACAAAATCAGATTGAAATCAAACTGTAAGTTTGAGATTGTGTGCGGTCTACCCACTTTTGTGATTAGTAGGTTTTGTATGGTTACATTTATGAGTCAAGTTGTACTTTTTAAAGATAGGAATGTTGTAAAGTTTTGTAATTAATAAATACATGATAAAAACAGAAGAAGAGACAAATAAATTGTTTTTTTCTAAGGACATTTTGGATATCAGTCGCCATTAAACAAAAAAAGAAGAAAATCAGCAATTCCCAAATGGGAGATATTCCTTTGAGGATCAGAACAGTGACGTTAATGCTGGTATATACTGGGTTAATCTCCAGGGACAAAATGATACACATCCTGGCAAGAACATTTGAACAGACTGCAGGTACACAATGAGACAAATTTCATAACTTTTGGGTGGATTGGTGTTGCAATGGCAGAAAATCGGATGACGTCAATTACCGCACAATTTCTTAAATTCCTCCCTGGTTATTCCCCTTTCCAAATATAGACCTTAATGTACAGCAGGAATTGAAGGACGAGTCAGAGCAATTTACAGTATTGTGTGTAATCCAGAATTATTTGGATCAGCATTTTTTCAAACTCTGTTTCTATTCACAGTTTGTCAACAATAAAAACCACAACATCTGGCAGATCATCAGTGAGAACTAATATTATAAAGGAAATATTCCTTATAATGTACAGGATGGAAATTAAGGAAGCCACCTGCTTCCTTTGGGTTCCTGCTCATGTTGGTGTGGAGGAAAATAAGCATGTGTGGATATTCTGGCCAAACAAACAGTCAGAGAACATCTATATAATATACAAAGACATGTTGGTGCTGGGCTTGAAACGAAGGGAAGAAAACATCATCAATCATCTGAGAATAGGCTTACGGTCCGAACCATACATTATATTAAATAGGCAAGAAAATGTAAAAACTGTAGCCAAACAGAAACATTCAAACTCTGCACATGTACACTATGTACATAATTGTAGAAAAAAACAATATCAATAGAAGTCCCTTTCTTTAAGCGATAAGGAGGGAAAGAACACCATGACTTTTCATCGTCAGGTCCCTTAGGGGAAACAGCAGGCAATATTTATTGTGATATCAAGTCTTTAAAAGAAACAGCTAAAACAAATTTTATCTTATTTATTTCTCCCTGCATGAGCCCTTGTCCCACACTCCAGTCCTGCTGTTGGCGGTAATGCAGCTCTAAGCTAGTTTGCCAACCACCAATACACGAAGAAGAAGATGACGAAGAAAACGGAAGAAGAAGAGGGAAATCCAAAACGGACTCGCGTCGTCTGTCCTCCCACCGTGTTTTGAAGTGAATAGTGTAGTTGAGCTGTAACAGCGGCTGTTAAGTGAACGACAGCTGCTGAAACCGAAGCAAAAGTAAGTGATTGTGAGTTAATATCGAGTAAATAACATCTTATTTTGACTACGGTGTGGTTGTTAGCTTCTCAAAGATGTCGTGCGTTAACGTCAGCAGACGTAGCAACAAGCTAGTCTGGTCAAAACGAACACATAAATGAGTGACGCCGAGATGGAAAAGTGGCCGATGGTATGACCGTGTTCACAGCGGCATATACCGATCCCTGGAGGGGTAAACCACTACTTTTCCAACGGCATGTACCGTTTCCTGCAGGCAGGTACCTCTAGAAGGTTCACATCAGTGGTTTATGTCGTTTAATCAGAGTGGTATGTTGTTCATATCACTGGTGTGTGTGTGTGTGTGTGTGTGTGTGTGTGTGTGCGTGCGTGCGCGCGCGCGTATATATATATATATATATATATATATATATATATATATATATATCGCTATAGCCTAACATTGGCCATAATACAAGTTTCAGGGTACACCAGCAAAAACGAAATCACTTTATTGTCATCTCAAAAGCCTTGCATGTATCCAAAGAAGAAAATGGGACGAGATACAATAGAGACATTCCTTTATTTTAGGCGCTGTGATGTGCTACTTTGTTACTATTGACATAGATACACGTTGGTCCGATATCACTACTTTGTTTATGTTGCATAATTAATCAAGACTCATTCACTCCATTTTTCCCAGAATGCAGAGGGCTTCCCGTTTGAAGCGTGAGCTTCAGATGCTGAGCACCGAGCCACCTCCAGGGATAACATGCTGGCAGGCCGAGGAGCGGATAGACGACATCCGGGCACGTAAGTAGTCACAGAATATGTTCTCAACAGTTTACCACATATGTGACAAGCTCAATATGTGTTCTAGCTACACCTGATCATGTTTTTGACTTACAGAGATAGTGGGCGGAACAGGGACTCCATATGAAGGTGGACTCTTCTCCTTGGAGATTAATGTCCCAGAGAGGTACATTTTCTCAAAGCTTTAACGTTTGTATGTTCTCTCTCCCATTTTCATGTTATAAACACAGTCTAGTAGGACTGACCTGCCGTTTTCCTCTTCTAGGTACCCATTTGAACCGCCCAAAATGCGGTTCTTGACCCCCATCTACCACCCAAACATCGACAATTCAGGACGTATCTGCCATGATGCCCTCAAACTCCCACCAAAGGTTGGATTTATCAACAACAACAAACAAAGCTGTTTCAAATTCACGTCCATCTGGTTTTGTTTGTCTACGGTCAGATTTTTATTTTTATTTTTTTAATTGTTATTAAGGGTGCCTGGAAGCCATCCCTAAACATCTCCACAGTCCTCAGCTCCATTCAGCTCCTCATGACTGAGCCCAATCCAGATGACCCACTCATGGCTGATATAGTGAGTCACACATAATGTTGCATACACAGCTATCATGCTGTCTGCAGGAGTTGAAACTCAATCACACTCAAGTTTTTTGTTTTTTGTTTTTGTGAATATTGTAATACAAATGTATATGTGACAGTAGAGCTGTTTTTTTGGTACATTAGAGCAACTGAGCACTGAATAACACTATGCTTCAAATGTGCACCTGAAAAAGAATTGAATATTTTTTCCAGCATGCATTTTTATTACAAGCCAGAGGTTTTGTTAAATACCAGATTAGATTTCAGTCTGAGACACCTTTACTTCTTGTCACAAAAATACAGCCTCTTGCAGTTTTTAAATTGCAGTAGAGCGCATTTGAATTGTGATCTGTTGCGTATTTCTGCCGTATACACATTTAAAGAGACGCTCACGTTTTTTTGAATGCAGTCATCAGAGTTCAAATACAACAAACAGCTGTTCACGGAGAAGGCCAGGAAGTGGACACAAGAACATGCTGTTCAGAAGAACATGGTAAGTCTTTCTGATTAATGGGTGAAGCAGTTGGAATGCATTTACTCTTGTACATGATCAAAACAGATTTCCTCTTCAACGATTTATTTACATTATGTACTGACCTTGGGTAGGTTCCATTTTTCTTAGTGGGTGTTATGATTATTGTCACTTCCTCCACAGTACTGTACTGTCCGTCATGGCATTGGTTCTATGTCGTGTTATATTTTGCCCACAAGGTGGTGCTGGTGTCCCTCAATAGAATGTAAGATTGACTTACAACAAAGTGATGCAGACTGTTTGATGATTTATATTCAAATGCGACCTCCACATTTCACCATTTTCAGTTTGGGGATGTGGGGGACTATATATCGGCAATGTGATGTCATTGTCTAAAATATTTTTTTGAATCGTCTTTGTTCAGGGAGTCGTGGAAGGCAACAAAGAAAATACTCCAGATCAGAAAGCTTCATCCCGCAAAAGAGAGGCTTTCGGGACGCACCAGGAGGCAGTGGAGCCACCAAAGAAGAGCTGTGTGTAGCTTCCATCTCGCTTGTAAGAGCCACAGGTCTCTCTTCTCCGGACATAACATTCCTTATACACCTGGTTGGAAAGAGTATGATTTTTAACTTTTAATTCAGTGCCAATACACACTTGATTTCACTATGTATGTATTACTTTTCTTAATCCAGAAATACCCACATATTTATATGTATACTTTTTTATGTTTGTGTCGTGATATTAAAGTTTATTTTAACACTAATTGATGGAACTGATTTAATGTTTTACAGACTTCTCGTGTTGTGAGCATTTGTGTTTCACAGTAGTAGCATAAGTGAAGTGGTTGATGGTATATACAGTATGAAGATAATAGATTTATTCAAACATATGCATACCAGTTGTATACAAAGTATGTACATCCTAAATAGCAAGTTGTATTTTTACAAACTAAGGATTTATTTCTTAATATATAAAATTATATATTTGCTGCTTATCATATAAAAAGGGAGACAAACATCATAAGGCTGTAGTGAGTCAATACCATGCTAGTTCAGAGGTAGTTACATTGTATGTACATATTGCTAGCCTACTCTAGTGTCTGTGGAAAGATAGCTACATCCCATTCAGTCTGTATAACTGCATGCCTCGTATTTGGGCAGATTTGCATATTTAAGAAAAAAAAAAATCATGCAAACCGTATGAATCTGTTGCATTTTGCTGCCACAAAGAATAACATTCTCATAACCGCTATTACACAATTGCAAAGAAATATCCGACTATAACATTTCCGTGAATGAAAAACGGTAGCTTACTCTGGTAAAAACAAATGTCCTTGTGTGTCCGATAATGACTCCCTTTCTTTGAAACAGACCTTAGCAATGGCATAGAACTTATATTTATAAAAATAATAAGATAACCCCTCTTAAAATATAACCAAACAATCTGTAACCTCTAAGCTGCATGTCTCATGATCACATTTCAGAAAAAAAACATTTACACTTAAAATTCTACTGGTTCTACCTTAATTCCCCCTGGCTTAACCATTGATTTGTCAGATGCTTAGGTTTTCCATGTAGTTTACAGCTTTTGTTTGAGCTTTCTTTTTGTCATGCGAGTCCATGACTCAAACAGTCCACTGGGTAATGTCTGAAATTGTCCTTTATTTTAACAGACATGTTGTAGTGGGGTGTTTCCTTTAATAGTCTTTACATTGAAGGGAGCTTTTAGTTGCACTCTCCATTTTCAGAGGCACTTTGTTGTGTTCTCATAGACTTCTCTAGAGTACTCTACAGTCTCTGTGTGGACTCATTCTGAGGTTCTGGAGGATTGATAACCCCGAGAGGGTCTTGCTGTTTGATGATGGTCCTTTAGTGTCCATAGTGTCCCAGCTAGCTTGGAGGCTCATGGATGAGAGGGGAGAGAGGGACTCATGGCTGAGTGATACAGGGAGCAAGTGTTATGAATCACGTCTTGATCTAAACTCTTGAGACATTCCTCGTCGTTCAGGCTCCCTCCTTCTGTCACCCTGTCTCTATCTCTGGCTGTGGGAATCTGGCAAGGGATGAGAGGAACAGAGGAAGTAGAGGAGCAGTGGGAAAACCTGATGGGATCCAGTTGGGGTTGGAGAGAGGACCCGCCACTGTAAAGGGCGTCGACATCAGCAAGTGACACTTGTGTCGACGAATCGGAGCAGGAGCTTTTCTCTGTCTCCACAGAAACCAGCGAGTCCAGTGTGCGGTCCCGGCGTAGCTGTGGACGTGCTTTGGGGTGAGGCCAGAAGAAGAACTGGGTGTGGTCTCGTGTAAAAAGTAGGAAGAGGAGGGGGTTGAGGCAGGCAGGCAAGGGCTGGAGAAGCAGGAGAACTGATTTTAGCACTTCCTCGCCCAGAGATAGGAGACCCAGCAGGGAGCAGAGGGAGAGAAAAGCTACCGGTACATAGAGGAGGCCATTGGTAAATATTAGCCAGGCAACATGTTTAATCATAGCACAGTCCCACAAGCCCTCACACTCTCCCCTAAGTAACTCCCAGTAAAGGCGAATGTATGAGCCTGTGACTATAAGCAAGCACAGGGTGTTCATCATAATAAGCGCCAAGGGAAAGCCAAGGGAGGATGGTAGTCGAGAGGATGGGGGTGGCAGGGGTGAGGGAAGGCAGAAAGGTGAGGACCCGTACTCCCCGACTCCTACCAGTGGGAGAGAAGCAAGAGTGAGGGAGAGAGTTAGGCAGACAAGTGCACATGTACGCACACTCCCAAGGGATGGGGACTTCCCAAAGGCACGGGCACATGTCACGCTCACGCCACACTGCACAGCTGCCAGAGTCAGCAGCAGTACGCTTGCTTCAGACGCAAACACCCAGACCCATCCCGTGGCTTGACAGCCAGGACCCGCCTCCCAGCGGGCACCGTGGTGACCGAACTCTCCCAAGGTTAGAGCGTCCACGAGGGCCAGGGTGCACGTGCACACGCCCGTTAGCAGGTTGGAAGCACCCATGCAGGCCACAGTGAAGCGGAGCGGTGACAGGTAGCCGGGTGAGCCGAAGAGGGAGAGGAGCAGGAGGGAGTTCCCCAGAAGAGACACTAAGGAGATGGACCACAAGCCCACACGAACCAGCCAGCTGCCCAACAGAGAGTCACAGGGACGGAAAGGACCTGCAACACATGAATCATCAACCGCGGATAAACAAACAAATAAATGGTGAATTCATGCATCAATTTCCTTACACTGTAGTGACAAAACTATCAGCCTGACCATCACTGAATTTGTAATTTCAGTTACCTGGAGTGGGTGAGCATTGGACACTGGTCTGTAGTTTGGATTCCTCTATTTCTAGTTGGAACTCCTCAAGGTCAGGGTCATCTGGAATAAAGCATTGTTTAGTTTGTGTAAGGTTTTGTGACGGCTTATTCTGCAGCCGTGCATATACACACAGCATGTTAGCTTGTGTGTGGCACTGGCTTCATGGGGCTGGTGCAATGAAGGAGGTGACTTAACATTCTTTTGTAATGAAATAGACAAAAATAATTGCAGAAGGTAATTGGCACTTGCATGAAATTTGATCATCATGACTGTTTTTCTAACAATTTTAGGCGAATAAATTTGAATCAGTGATACGTCATGGTTGAATCATCTTTTGATATTGGAGCTTTTGATACACCGCACACTTGTTTATTTTTGGTTTTAATGGTGTAGGTATAATGGTTTTGATTTCAGCTTAATTTTGGTTTATTGGTGTTTATATTTCACGACTCAAGTGTAAGTGTGTTTCAGCGACGCTCTGACATGTTTCAAGTGGGCTTGTGTCAATAGTTCGGCAATGAGCACACACATGTTGGGCTCAGATTCCTGTCTATAACTCTAACCCTCTGTCCCGTGTGTGTACCCTGTGTGGTATACTGCACATGTGCTCACACAGATATTGTAATGGAGTGCTTTCTTACAGTGTGTGTCCGCGTGGATAGGGTACATAGCCACGGTCCTCCTGTGTAGGTCCTCGTCAGTGTTGCTCTGCTCGGTGTCCCATTGGCCGACTGTCTTGTAGCTATCACAGGAACCATACACACAGCACTGGTAGGCGTAAGGCATCTCTATTACCCTGCAACCAACAGATGAAACAGTATTGACAAAAGACAGGAAGAACTATGCCACCGCAGATGGTTCAACAAGTGCACAAAGAAAGGTGCACATATTCATTTTAATGTGAGCTTGAGCATTGCTTGCTTAACTTTTACATACAATGTTGAATATTCACATTAACGCTTCAAAGCATCCTCAAGTGGTTATGAATCTGTTATTGAGTACATGTGAAAAATCAAGTAAAATGACCCACAATCTCTAGGGGAAACGTTTCTGAGGCCTGGATCAGCTGACCTTGTTGTGGATGGTTGTACGCAAATATTTACTGTACATGTACAGTGCGTTTAAAAATGGCTCTCTTCCGGGCGTTCTGCTTTGATTGATGATCTACAGTAATGACTTTGCCATTTGATCACCTGCCATCTCTTATATATTTGAAACTGGCTCTCTATTTTCACCGCACCTTTCCAGGCCTTCAGGGATCTTTGTAACAGGAATTAACTTGCTGCTGACAAATGCTCCCTCATTGTTGGAGTTCAGTTCAGGAATGGCTTGCAGGGATACAGTGTAATTAGTGCTTTGTCAACCATGGCTGCTTTTGGTAGATTGAAGATATATTTGGTGTATTGAAGAAAAATTGGGAGCGGAAGGATAATTGAAGGGATTCATTGTTCTTTACAGCCACAGGTTACACACCTGGGTAAGTAGTCATCTTATGTAAGTTTATGACGAGAAATAAAACGTATACAGAAACCTTAAGAAAGAGAGAAAAGAATGTATGATGGTGTGTGTGTGTGTGTGTGTGTTACCTCATACGGGGGAAGTAGTCAGGACTGAAGGCCTCATATAGTTCAGTGTTCCCCCTCAGCTTGAGATGGGTGAGACCCCCCAAACCGGCAACAGGCACTGAGCTGAGACGGTTCTCCGTCAGGTCCCTGAAATAAATATGGAATTGAAATTGAGAACGAAACAGAAGAGGGTGTGTGTCAGATCAGGCCAAGTCAGTGTTCACAAAATGTGTTTTCATTTCCCTTATTGCCGAGGGTCATCCATGGTAACAAAAAGGCCTTGTCTCATAGATGTTTTAAACTGTTCAGACAACGCTCTATCAGATTCCCTTTAGATAACACTTCCTGTCAGATGTAGTGTATCTGCTTGTTTAGCGATACGCATACTTCACACCATGAAGCAGTTTGTATTGGCATGACCTGAGATGAATCTCCTGGCCACACAGAGGGGTTTTTCAAACAATAAATGCATATCAGTGTTCTCTGTAGACTCAGCCAAAGACAGCATGTTTTCCGCAGCACACACAGTCGAGTATGGAGTGTTTGTATAAGGCGAAGGCTCTGAAGCACAGCTTAACTTTAATTAAAGATGCACAAATTCGGAATGCCTTCACTTCAGAAGGACCAGATGAAAGGGAGAAGAGTCTTAGTGATTGAAATGTATCTGTGTTTACTCACAGTTTGATCAAGGAGTGAAGCGAGGCAAAGGCGTCCAGGTGGATCCACTCGATCATATTACAGCTCAGATCACTGAAATAAGTCAAAGTAAAGTGGAAAGAAAATAATTGTAAATACACTGTGCATATTGTATCTCCATCACCACTAGATGTCAGTAATGGGTCATAAGTCTCCATAGTTTAATCCTGACCCATGCTTCTTAACCTTTTCGGCTCATGACCCTTTAAAATGAACCAATGTCTACTTGAAACATCTCATTATACGAGGAGTGATTTTCCTTCCACAGATTGTTTCATTAAGATATTTTTACAGATAAAACTATCATGTAGTTAAGAAGGAAAAAAAGCTTTGTGTAGAAGAATGTTTTGTTTTTCATCTTTCCTTTCCTGTTGAATCATCCGTTGAAACCTCAGATATCTTGCGACCCCTTGGTGGGGGTCCTGATTTCAACCACTGATCTAGACGAAGCATTTGAACAGTTACGACAAAGGTTGACTTACAGTGCTCTGAGAGAGGTGAGCTGCTGGAAGGTGCTTGACTCTATCCTCCTGATTTGGTTGTGCTGGAGCCCTCTGTTGGGGAAAATTACAAGGGTGGTAACCATGAGAATAATGGAAAAAGTGCGGGTAAACAGATTAAAATGTTGATTTGGATGCATATGTGTGTGTTGTTGTTGCGTGTTGAACTCACATCTCTTGCAGTGCAGAGCAGTGGTAAAAACTGGGCAGATCTTCAATCTGGTTGTAAGACAGCTCCCTACAACAATTCACAAAGCGTACACACAAAGCACATATAAACACAGTGACCAGCTGTGGATTTATAGCCTGGGAAATGATGAGGGTGACAGGATTATTTGAGTTAACAGTCGGCTCTGTGAGCAAGGCAATATAGCAGGACAGTCATTTTTTTGGGGTGGGGTGGGTGATTGGATTTCATAGCACAGTTATTGTACAAATGTTAGCTTGGTGGCACAACTCTCCACAGTTGGGTTTTGTGTATCAGTTTTTATACCTCTCACCCCCCTCCCTCCCATGTGTGTGTGTGTGTGTGTGTGTGTGTGTGTGTGTGTGTGTGTGTGTGTGTGTGTGTACTCACAGCACTCTGAGACGAGGCAGCTGCTCACACAGATCCGGAGGGAGAGCTGTGAGACCGGCCCGAGTCAGCGTCCTATAGAGAAAATGAGAATCCTCTGATCATTGTTGAAGTGCAAGCAAGCGAAAGGATTCCCCAGTTCTGTGAGTCTAACTTGGTCAGACAGAAAGCTGAGTAGGTTCGCCAAACCTGTCACTGGCTGGCATAACTAGCTTACCCCTCCCGTTTCTGAGTGTCCTGCACCGTCCCTTTCTCTCCTAGAATCCTAAAACACACATATTTTCTCTCTTTTTCTCTCTGCTTATTCTTATCTCTCTCCTCTCTTTTTCTCTTATGTATTTGGACTCGGATTGTATCTCCGTCTTCTCCAATTCTTTGCTATTGTATGTGATGAATCCCCACTAGATGAAATAGTACTGTGCGTGTGATTGTGGGGATAAAGGAGACACTTACAAAATTTCCAGGCTGGTGGTTCCTTTCAGATCGGGAAACTCTTGAATCTGGGTTGCCCCATTAAGAGAACTGCAGCAACAAGGAAAAAAAGTGTCAGAAATCTCTCTCTCTCTATCGCTCTCTCTCTCTCTCTCTCTCACACACATACAAACATACCCAGACGCATACTGACACACAAACACACACACAGACTTTGTCTAACAGCTCATTTTAGCCATCAAACTGTTCCTCCAACATCAACACAGGCTGTTTTGGCGGTCTCACAAGACATCATAAGTCACACCATTCAACATGTTCTTACAACACACTCTCTCTTACCACATCAGCACAGAGCACAGCAATACGCTAACACAACATCATTCAGTAGGCCATTACACATGTCCATTCAACTCTCACTGCTAGGGACGGAGGATGATTTAAACAGTGTTTGGGCTAACTCACTGGAATGGTTCCTACTGACCGCATACTCACAGTGTGTGCAACTTGGGTAAGAACTGGAAAGCGGACTTTCCCACAAACTGGATGGGGTTTTCATAGAAATGACTGCAGGAAAGAAAGAAAGAGAAGATTGATTCCGACATATTTTGATGCATTTGTGTTGAGGAATGAGTTGCGCTGTACATGATGTTGACATGAAATATCAATTATTTTATTTAATACAATATGTGCACATTGTAGCATGAAGCATTAAGCTCACATGGTTTGGAGCTGAGGGTTTCCCACGAAGGCCCTCTCAGGGATGGCTTTGATATTGTTGTTATGGAAGCCCCTGCAAATATAAAAACATATTTAGTCAGAGAGATGTGTCAATATGTTTCTGATTTTGTGAATGTGTGTGTGAGTTTAGAAGACCGAGAGGCAAGTCATATGTCCTCATGTTGCACCTGCCAGTGCACAGCTGAAAAACATTTTGGGATAAATGAGATGTAAACACGCACACACATGCTGTATCTGTGTCACATATGCACGCCATGGAACATCTGCTGAAGCTGAGGGAAAACATGGTTTGTATGTGTGTGCGTGCGTGCACGTCTGTGTGTAAGTGCAGGCGAGTGAGTGCGTGGGTGTGTAGCCAGCACCTGCTTAGGGCGAGAGAGATTGTATCCGAGTGCCACATTAAAATCACTTAACGGGATTACTTGGGATAAAGCAACCATGATAGTCATGTCAGGCAGGTGTGTGTGTGTGTGTGTGTGTGTGTGTGTGTGTGTCTGTCTATGTACTCACAGTTCCTGAAGCTTACTCAGTGTCCTGATGGCCACAGGGAACTCCTGCAGATCATTGTAGTTTAAATCCCTGAGAGAGAGAGAAGAAGATAAACAATCGTGATTGAAAAGTATATTGAAAAAGTCCACGGCATGATGGAGGTTTTACTTCTCTGCAATCATAATTCAACCATATTTGATATTCAGTTTTTTCCGTGTGTGAGAAAGTGTGCCTGATTGCATATGTATGCGCAGCCATTTCCTCTCCACTCTGAGCGGCTGACAGCTGTAGAGTGTGAGGTTTGAATTTGACCCTTGACCTTTGCTGCTCTGACCCGACTATTTAGGTCTGTCTCTGATTAGTTACCAAGGAAACGCTGCATCAAAACAATCATTGCTACAGTTTAGTTGACGCAGCTCATACGCAGGTGGCAGGAAAAAATTTTTTTTTTATTGTATCTCTTATCTGTACTTGAGTATGTACTGTAGATATGCTTCAGAACATGGGAAAAGTGTGCAGTGTACATGTTTGTGCTTATATAGTATGCCTTTTGCCATATTAAGGCATGTGCCGGGGTCTGCGTTTTGTCGTGGAAGATTCTTAGCCGCCCAGGTCAAAGGATATCTAAAAGTACTAAGTCATAGTCAGCTGGGTTTGTTTTTATTCGTTCCAAGTGAATGCCCTTGATGAAGTACTTCTAGATATGTGTGTATTTTCCCAAAGTATCAGTGGATACTGTGAAATGTCTGCTCCGTCTTGTTTGCATATGCAGTTATGTTTTCCAGCAGTCCCCTGGACGGCTCCTCGTAGTAATGATTTTACAATACACACAAGGGTTGGGGAGGGTTGTGGTGATGCAGATGGTCTCTCGTAGTTCTCATAAGCGAAGCCGCTGTGAGAGATTAACCCCTCATACCGGCGCAATCCCCACGTCAATGACACCTGTCATCTTATCCCGCTGAATCATCTGTCTCTGCTCGCCGCTGACAGCCCAAACACTTTAACACACACCATTCTTGTCCAGAGAGCTCCATCCCTCTCTTTCTCATTCTCTAATTTCCCTTCATCCCTTTAAGTATGGCTCCCCTGACTTACACCCTGTTCCCTCACATTTCCCAGCATGGATAATGGCTTTTAAGTTGGGTGTTAAGCTGGCCATGTGCTTTTTAGGGCACAGGCAGAAGTACTTGCTTATCTGCGCACACACACACACACACACACGCACACACGCATGTGCCCACACACGTGCTCATAAAAAAGGAACGCATTATTTTTCTTTTACATTTCAACAGGTTGTTAAGCAGCATGCCAGAAACGGTTTTCATCAGACCACCATGAATGTTGCAGGAGACACAGTTGAACTGTGTGCATTTCTCTCCCTTTCTTTCTCCACCTCTGTCATGAGGCTCTCAGTTTCCTGTGGTTTCCATATTGGTGTGTGGTTACGATGCAGTTATCAAAGCTGCGGCACGTACGCTCAAACAGCTCTCCTGTAGCCAGGCTGAGCCGTGTTTGACCTCAGCGCTGCTTGGCAAGCACTTTTACAAATCATAGAGGAATCTGTTGGTGTTACTTCAAGATAATCAATGAGAAACTTTCCATCTTCGCTCATTTGTTGGTTATGGTTTTGAGAAAGGACCTGCTGAAAATTACCAGGACATTCATCATTATGACTCAGCGCTGCACTTCATTATTCTTTGGCAGACTTGGTACATGAGATTTATAAAAACACAATCATTTCAGGAGTTTCAAGTAACACCAAACACCAAAAAGAAATAATGCTGCATTCAAACACAGACAATTGACCTTCATGAGGTTATAGGGAGTTCTTCATATATCTATTGATTGTGATTGAAAGACAACCATACAGAGTTAACGTTGATACTTGCTGATACTTTATCATCACGACGCCAGCAATGATGTTTTGGGGAAATAAAGTGTGCGTGCGTGTGTGTGTGTGTGTAAGAGAGTGTGAGAGAGAGGTAGTGAAAATGTCTTGAGTTTAACTTGCAATAGTAACCTCTATCCAAAAAGCATACGTGTGTCTGTGATTATGTGTGTGATACTCACAGTGTCTCCAGACTGTGTAAACCTTCAAAACATCTCGCACCCATGCTCTGGATGTGGTTGTTATGAAGATGCCTGGAAAAAGAGCACAAATATTTTACAAATCAGAAATGACCGACTCTAAAATGTTTCCACGCTGCAATCATCAACGCCCCGTTCTAAGTCAACGGAATGAATATTTTCTCTGGTAAGTTGAGAAACCCAGACGGTAAACAAATCAAGATGTCACTTACAGAACGACAAGGGCGGAGAGGTTGGTGAATGCATAATCTGGGATATGTGTGATGTGGTTGAGGGCCAGCGTCATGGCCTGCAAGGAGGGCAGAGAGTCCAGGGCCGTCCCTGGGATCTCTGTGAGGGAGTTGTCGTCCAACCACAGGTGTCTTAGGGCGCGAACCCCTCTAAAGGCCCCGGCAGGAACCTCAGACAACAGGTTAGCATCGAGACGCCTGCAGGGTGAGAGGAACTGAGCTAAGCGAGATAATCACCAAGTTTAAGTACGGTTTGTTTGCTTTTGTGGAACTGTGCTTGTGTGTGCATTAGTGGTTGTATGTTGTGGCAATGAAACACTTTGGCTTACAGGAAGGTTATTATGAGAATTACACATCTTTTATTCTCCGTCTTTCATCTTTGCTGCAGCGTCTTAGAAGCTCCTCATTATGATTTATTCCCATACTAAATAAGCCATGTCTAGCTTCACCAGCACAGGCATGCACGTAATAAATGTAAGACGAGAAAAACATAAACGTGTAGGAACAGTTGTGACGGGCCTGTTTTATTCTACCTCATTCAAATTTTGTTGTGTGAGCAGACTTCCCTCAATGTCCTGGAAAAGGGGAAAGATGGAAAGAGGAACAGTTTAAGACGCTTCTTCAGCTGTTCCTCCCTCATTTACTCTTTCCATTGGAGTCTCGCTGTCGCCATCAGTCTTTGACGTTTCCACCACTCATACACAAACACAACACCGGACACACATGTGCTTTCATCTCTTCAAACCTAACAAACCTTTGTCCCCTCTCTCACTCGGTGTCCTCAACCCACAGGCAACGAGTGTGGACTGTGACACACACGCCGCCATACACACATGCATACACACTGTCCATAGTGATGAATGATCCCCTCAGGGCAGAGTTGACAAGCTGAGACCACTTCCTCTCGCTATTCTTCTTTCTTTGGCCCTTCACACTCATTCATTAATCTCCCTTTCCTCCCTCCGGCCCCTCTCACACTCACATTTTGTTTCTTACATCTTCATTGATGCACTCCCAGCCGCTGCGAACCCCTTTTGCGTCTCACTCCTTAACTCTTGTTCGTCTTTCAAACATCCTCTCTTATCAATCTTCTACCGTGGTTCTTTGATTCTGGTGCTACGGCTCCTCCTCGGGCTCCTCAACCCTCGGAGGCTTCACCAAACAAACAGCATCATCAAAGTGAAATCTGAACTTGAACTCTGAACTCTGGGCTTTTCTCCCCAGGGAATTGTTCCATCAGGAGAGACAACTGTATACACTGGCAGATGCTCAGGCACACAGGGAAACACCCTCCAGCATACATGTAAATACGCATGAATGTGTGTATGCGCGCACACGAACAGCTTCAAGAAATTTTCATCTTGTCTACTTCCTGAGCACACATTTTGTTCGGTGCTAAACATCCTTGTGCATCCTGTGCACTCGAACTGTGGACATTGTTTGTCCCTGACCCAAATCGCAGGATGAAAGCTACGGAAGACCCTTCAACTTTCTGTTTTGTTCTCCAGGGCAAAATAATAATTGCTCCTCTGGGTGGAACTGCCAGGTCTCCAGAAGGTCCAGACCGAACCAGGAATGTTCCACAGAAGCCAATAAAGCAGCAACTATTTCCTGTCCATCACATCAAAGTCTGAGGCACGATTACAGGAGAGAGAAATGGAGACAGAAAGAGAAAGTTCTCTTAAATGATCCAGGAGTTCTGTGGACATGCCTCCCAGTTCAATTCTCCAGATGGCCAACATTTTGTACGAGGAACTTGAAGGGGCGTGTTTCACTGCCATCGAGTCAAATCTATAAAAACAGGGATATTTTGATTCATGTGGCTTGTGCAACTCATCAGTGGTGATTACGATGCTTAACGTGTGGGTCGTGACCCAAAACACTGTCCGTCTCCTCATAACTAAACAACAACAGCACTCAACATTGGGTGTTGCAATTAGACTGTTCCAAACAGTGAGACAAATTTCTTGACTCGGCTTAAGTTCACTGCTGACAGAAGGATTTGTGTCTGAGATTAAGAGCGAGATTTATTTTAGATGAAAGCCTCCTTTATACATTGAAACATATTTAAAACCCATGTTCTGTCTCTCTCTCTTTTTACCTGTGTTTTATGTCAGTGAAAGGCGCCAACAAGCTTCACTCTCCAAAGCCTTTCCAGTAATCTTTCTCCGCTGGGCTTATCATTACTGTAATGACAAGGTGCGTCTCTATAACCTGGCTCTGTGTATGTCTGTACTGTGTGTGTGTGTGTGTGTCTGTGTGTGTGTGTGTGTCTGTGTGTGTGTGTGTTTGTGTGTTTAATTACTTGAGAGCATCCCTATGTGAAAAAATTGAGAGACCACACACACACACACACACACACACACCTGCTTGTGCACACATACACATGAACTGAAAACAGTCATAATCCTAAAATTCCACATACACACAGGTGAGCTGAGCCGTAGTGGTTGCCTGTAGGTAGGGCTGTCATGACATTTTAGTTGACGATTAATTCTAATAGAAGTAATTGCTATTAACGGTTAAATTGTTATTTAAACCTAAATCCATGTTGTTAATTTCAATCTCATCTGAATGATGCATTTTTTGGCAAAATAGTGTCACTTAATCTCCAAATAGTTAGCTGAAATAGTGTTTTCTCTTGATCTGCTGCACAGATTTATGCAGCTTGTTCTTAAACTGTACGTAACAAAAACGTGATTCAAAACGGTTGAATCATGAAGCTTTGTTGAGTTTTGAGGAGCTGCCACATTTATTCATCTACAAACTGAAACCTACACTGTTCATTTACTACTACCAGACAACTTAATTCTCAATTCCTTCTCTGCTCTGATTGCCAACACCTGTCTGCTCTGAGCACATCCGCTGTCCACCACACAGTCGCTGCGCTTGTACTGCAGCGATTTCTTAAATAACCCACGCAACTCTTATTACACCATCACAATATTTTTCTGTGAATTGTCTAATTAGAAAAGCTGGATGAAAGCGACATCTCTAGCATATACCTGTCCAACACACTGCTGCACCCGTAGGGGAGACTCCCTGCTATAAATCAAGAACATAAAGCAATACATAATATGAGCTGGAACAGAAGAACCTGCCCATCAGCTCTTTATTTGAGTGCTTTTTTTACTGACATTGGAAGCTCAGGTAGACACTTTATTCACCCAGCTGTTACCAAGCTCTCTATTTGCTGCCACATTTGTAACATTGGCCTTAAATTCTCTTGATGCAAATTGATCACGGTCAGCTCGAACAGTCAGGCAATTATGTAATAATTGCGACCGGCATGTGTGCGTGCAGGCTTGGTGACTGTGTTGAGGGAGAGCAGGCCTGCTTAATACCAGACAGGGAAACGTTGTAGGTGGTAGAGGAGTTACATGTGCACGCCGCTTCTATTTTACAACTCCAGCAATTTGTCTGTGAGATGAAGGAAATGGCTTTACGGGTATTTACAAAGAATTATTAATTTGGAAAGCAGGGATGTGGAGTATGTGTGCGGTACAAAGTTGGGAGAGACGGGTCGGGGTGAGGAATTACAGATGAGGTGGTCCACATGCATCTGCCCAAATATTCACGCCGACACACACACACACGTACATACACTGACCCCACAGATGAGACAATTATGCCACCAAACACTCTCATTAGCCAGGGGGATAGCGGTATGGGTGGTGGAGGAGAGGAGCGGACGAGGAAGAGAGGGGGAATTGATGGAAAATGGGGTTGTTTCACAGCTCATTGGAGATGCTCTCCCTGGCCTGCAGTGTCTGCTGTTTCCCTCATGGCTTCCAGATGCTACCATGAACTGCACTGACACAGTCAGGCTGTGGCTCCTACTATCAGGCAGTACAGGGCAGAACTATTGGGGTATGGTCTGTAATATGTTAGCAGTACTCTATACCTGCACTGCGGTTAGAGCTGAGTTGTGTGGGTGGGTGGCCAGGGGATGTTTCATTCCCTGCTAGATGAGGTAGAGTAACATAATTAGTGTGCATGTGTGTGTAAGAGAGAGAGAGACTCACAGGGATAGAAGGTTGGGTAGGTCCCATGGAGCATCATCAGGAAGTCTCTCCAATTGGTTGTTTTGTATCATCCTGAAAGACAGATACAGATTATTGAGTTGTAGGTAATAGCTCTATAAGTGATAGAGTGTGTGTGAGGGCACATCAAGCAGAACAAATAATTCCATCATGAGGGAAATCTGACACAAAAAGGAAAGGGCCGGTGAAAGCTTGAGGAGAAGCAGAGAATGAAGGGTAGAAGAAAAGAGAAAGAGAAGCTCCTTGGGTGGGCTGCTGATGTCATTTTCAGAAGAATGGAGCAAAACGCGAGGAGGAAGTGGTGAGCAAACAATATCCCTCTCTCTTTCCTCTCCCTCCCTTGCTTACTCTGTCTTTCTCTCCCTCTTTCTTTAAAGTTTGTTATCGTGACCAGTAGTCTGACATTAGCTCACAAGGCGTAGCGTCTCCAGTGTGTCGCGCTCAGCAGCAGCATTTAGCCTTTATTGTGGTATCATGGTGCCTCTTTGTGAGTCTGCGAGGCCTTGTGTCACAACAGTTAAATCTTAGCTTGCAGTAAAGTTATTATAACAATGTAGTATCTTTTGTTTGTGAGCATGAAATAACCTTGATGCCTCGACTGCCAAGTATGAGACAGTTTTCCGTCTGAATTATTTATTATCTATTCATTTATTTAGATATACTGTAATGCTTCAGTGTAGAAAAAAATGCTCAGGTTTTTAGAGGATCGGGGGAATGTTTCCACTGAGACGATGATGCCATGATAAATACATCAAATTGAGCCTTTTCCTGTTTCAAAGAAATTCCCTTGGGGAAGCTTGTACTCCACTCTGGGTTCATGACCTCCTGTGTGCATGCACGTGCATGCATGTGAGTCAGCACAAAGTCATCTTGTGGTTACCCTACACATGGTCAGCGGTCCATTTGTAACACAGTCTGACTTTAACTAACATACTGAGGAAGGAAACCAACAGCTCAGCTGCTCTGAGGTCAAAGAGACCTTCCAAAGTTTGCTAGGATGTTATAGTTCAAAGCATGAATGCTTTCAGTTGTGTACGAATCCAGGATATGTGTGTCCTTCTGCAGTAATGACATAATAGCCGAGGATTCATGGCTGGTTTCGGTGAGTTTCACAGCACAAGGTGAAAGCAGATCAACTTGTGTGCCTGGTAATCCCCCAGATTCCCTTAAAATTACAAACCACAGTTCTCTAGCTAAATTTATAATCTGTGGCAGAGCTTCTCAAACTTTGCTCAGCGAGGGTCTAAGAGGAATTGAGTTGCCATGGACCATGAAAACCTCCTTAATACCCTCGTCTCTCACCCAGTACAAAATACGGCAGTAACTTATTAGATGCAGGGGACACACGTCAGAAAATGCCTTGGTTTTTATGGTTGCTTTGCACTTTTTTTGTGATTTAGTATTTCACTGCAGCGCTAACAGTTGGTGGCTGTGGATCATAAGGCTATGAACACACTAGGAGAAATGGAGTGTTGAGGGAACAGCTTTGAATGGCACTTTAAAGTGATTTTTTTTGTCACTTTCTGTAATCTCGGTGGGTGGTGTGACTGGGAGGTCCCTGCATTACACCTGTGTGTGTGTGTGAGCATGTGTGTGTGTGAGTGTGTGTGTGTGTGTGCGAGCATGTGTGTGTGTGTGTGTGTGTGTGTGTGTGTGTGTGTGTGTGTGTG